CGTGTAAAGTTTGCTTATCATTTTCGCATAAATTATGACCTAAATTTGGAAACCGCTGAATTTCTCGAATTGGGTCTTTGCGATTTTGGTGAAACTCTGTTCAGCGCAAGGCACTAATGCGCACTATGTGTAGCCGAGAGATTTTCACGAAAAAATCCGGCAACAGCAGATTTTCGACTCAGACCTCAAAGGGGCGTGGCATTATAACCACGTGACATTTACTCCGATCGCCAAAAATTTTATGTTATATTGTAGATTGATCTATATGTTATCCATTCTATGTGTTAGACCTACGATAAAAGTAAAGGAGGGGATACTAGAGAGCTTCAAAGTAGGATGGTACCCCCCAAAAAAACTGGGTCGAGTCACCTTAAGCTAGCATGGAAAGTAAAATGTCCCAATTTGCCAGACCCGATAATACCATAATATTCTTTGAACTGTCATTTGGTTGGCTCTTACAATTTTTTTTTTTTTTTGCACGAACTGCACGTGCAGTGTGTGCAAATTAAAGAGGTGCACGTGCAAATCGTGTAGAGAACAAAAGATATTGCAGAAGTCAGTGGTATTTTCCGCTTTGGCCAATGCAGATCCTAGAAGAAACTTAAAGTTCTAGAAGTTAGTAGCTATTTACACAAACGTTATGTATTGTTACATATACATAACCTAATTAATTTTACTGTTAAGTCGCAGCCCGTGATTCAAGCCTCGTTTTCAAGAAACTGTTCCAAGCTATCAAATATAAACTCGCTCTCTTAAACCAATCCGAATGTGGCTTTTTATGTCCTTTTGCGTATAACCACTGTGATGTGATTGACTACGACGTTGTTGCATTCGTGTTATTTGAAGCAGCGCTACAATTTTATTAACTTCGGTGATACTGAGGAATCTTTAAATATATTTGAATGTTTAACTCAGTATATTTCAGGTTCCAATATTGGGTGTATCTTGATTCCCTATGCATACCATACACTATTTGCAGTTTGTGTCGAGGTCTCTGTTTTATCCCTTAACATAGATTCACATATTCTCTTTGCAGAGAATGAATGCCCTGATCCCGGGAGACCTGATAATGGTGACCGATTTGGAGATTTTAAAGTTGGAAGCACTGTTCGCTTTTCCTGTCAGTACGGATTTGTACTGCGTGGTTCCAGAGAGAGAACTTGTATGGAAAATTTAGAATGGAGCGGACACTTGACAACCTGCCAGGATGGAAGTAAGCGATTACCCAATGGCTTAAGTGGTGGTTGTCCGTTATAAAAAATATCGTTTGGCCAATATTTGAAAAACATTACTGAGACACAATTTGAATATTTCAATTAGCTTATTTCCACACGCTTTTCTCCACAAAAACGTAGTCTAAAATGTCGATGAGGTAAATTTGGGGGATTAAGATGAAAGTACTCTCCAAAGTTTAAGTTTAGAAGAAGTCATTAATGCATGAGAACATGAGAAGGTATCAAAAGTTGTCAGTTCCACCACAACGTTAAAGATGTTTGTTAGTTAAAATGGTCTAAAAAAATGAACCTTTGACACATTTCTTAATATGAATGTTATTATTCGTTGATTTCACAGACCGCAAAGTACAATCGCATAGTACAATGTGTAAAGATAGCGCGTTCAAAAACTGTCCGCTTTTATTTCAAAATCATAATAGATTCTACATGGGCCAATCAAGGTTAAAAGTGACCGGGTAAGCCTAGGCAAGCCTATTGTTCCTATTGTTAGAGAGACGCTCATTACACATGGAGGAAGATAGTTGTTAGTATGCGGGAAGACCCTCATTAGTATGGGGGAAGACAGCTGTTGGTATGCGAGAAGACCCTCATTAGTAGGGGCGAAGACAGTTGTTAGTATGCGGGAAGACGCTCATTAGTATGGAGGAAGACAGTTGTTAGTATGCGGGAAGACCCTCATTAGTATGGCGAAAGACACTTATGCATATTAATAAAAGCAAGACTTTCATCCCTCTATCACTACTGCCCACGCTCTAACCAACTTTGCCAGTCTTGCTCCTTTATTTACTTCAGTAAATGTGGTGGTCGAGTCCCGAGTCTGTCTTCTTCAGCACTTAGCCTTAACCACCATTTAATACTTTGAATCTACTGTACATGTTCTGTTAGTTTTCACGGGTAAAAAGCTTCAACTAACAGACACTATCTGTTCTAGAATTCATAGAATGTCTTTTGATTCTGCCTTTTATAATTGAGAGAGAATTATGTAACAGTGCAGATTTAACTCGTTATCACCTTGTTAGTACATAAATTCCTGTGGAGAAACATTAAAGCAACGCTTTTGAAATACATATAAGGCAAAATATCTAACTTGTGCTCGATTAGCAGCCGTCAAAGGCTTGTATCCTTCCGTTCTTTTCAATGTCATAACTTTTCTGTGGAGGCTAAATTGCAAAATACTCAGTTATGGCTTTATTATTTTTTAAAGTAGAGACTTTTTTCTCCTGATTTTCAATAATATGTTAAATATCTATTTGTTGTTAAAAAATTTAAATTTTAAAGAAGAAAAGCTAAAAGGAATGCAATGTTGAAAAGAATGAAGCGGTGGTAAGATAATGATGAAGCGTTAAGCACGTGGATTAACTTTTGATGAGTTAAAGTGTACTTGCAGATACTGACTGTCCAGTTCTTGGCACACCCATAAACGGGCGGAAATATGGAAGTAGATACAATCTTGGAGACATTGTGTTACTTGAATGCAATGAAGGATTTGTTCTGAAAGGCTCAGCGGCTAGACGATGCATGGAAAATGGCACATGGAACGGAACAGAAGTGATATGTAGAGGTAACCTAAACCAAAGTTGATGACAGCTGATGTAGACTTTGATTGATAGCGTATGTAACATGGTTTTTAATGTCTGATTACAATCTGAAACGAACATAGTCCGCGAATCAGGCAGTTTTTGGGGGTGTAGTTCTCGTTGTGGTTCGTGAATCAAGAGATGCAGCTGCATCAAGTCGCATGAAGGCTGAGCAGAGGTCAAACGAGTTCTTCTCTTTGTCTTCTTCCTATCGCCCCTTTCCCCTAGTTCTGTCGTTTGAGCTCGGTTTGCGGCTGTATTTCTTACTCTATGAACCACAATCGATAAACACAGCAAAAAACACTTGATTCGCAGTCCAAACAAACATATTTTAAAGTGATGACGTAATTGGGACGTCATATCACGTCACAAATAACACCTTTACTTTCAGTCTGTCAGTTGGTCATTTTCAACTTCTTTTACTGGTCAATGCGGGTTCTACTGATCTAATTTCTCCTAGAAATCATTCTGAATTCTGTGACTTTGGTATGGTTAGCCAAGACACTTTCAAAGAATATACCCGAAAGTGAGCGCTTAAGTCGTGAAATCTCGATCCTATACCTGCCTCAGTGATGAAAAACTGTTTAGATATGCTGTTGCCTGAATAACGAAAATGCACTCAAGATTGCTGAGCGGCTACCACCCCTCAAGAAACCTTATGCTTCTTTTACGAACTACTCTAATTTTCGTCCGATCTCGAATTTGACAGCCTATGTTTCTACCCACCACCTAGATGAATAGTTCCAGTCAGCTTACAAGCTCTATCACTCTACTGAGACTGCTCTTATTAGAGCGCAGAATGACATTCTCTTTACCATTGACAGCTGAACCATTCTGTGATTCTATTATTATTCGATCTTTCTGCGGCTTTCGTTAGTGTAGATCATTTTATTCTGTTATCGAAATTATCATACCGATTTGGTATTAATGGTACGGTCCTGGGTTGGTTTGACTCCTATCTAAAATCTTTTAAGTACTATGTCTAAGTCGAGAAATGTAAGTCGACTACGCGTTCCTCAAGGGTCGGTCTTCGGCCCCTTTGTTAATGTATTATGGCAAAGCGTCTCCCTGAAACACATGCGTATGCGGATTATATTTTTCTTTTAAACCCGACTCCTCTAACTCTCAGGGGGAGCTATCAAAGTGATTGAGGAATGTATTTCAGAGGTTCGCATTTGGATGGTCTCTCATCGGCTATTAATTAAGACTTTCATTAATTTAGACTTTCTTATCATCGGCTCTTACCAGAAGTTATCCAAGGTTTCCACTGAGTCAATTGCTGTCGGTACCTCTGTTATTAAACCTGTGGAGTGTGTCCGTAATCTGGGTGCATGGTTTGAAAATCATATGTCTATGGATACTCATGTTGTCAAAGTTTGTAGTAAATTAAAGCTTTTCATGGCCTATATACCATCAGGCAAATAAGAAAGTTTCTTTCTGAAGAATCAACTAAGATTTTGTAAATAGATGTGTAATAATTATTTATGTTTGTTGCAGATGAGGTAGAGGACCGCTTTAAAAACGTTAACGAGACTGCCTTTAATCTTCGCAAAAACATGATTGACATGTTTTTGGAATATGCTTGTAACAACGAAAACGACACCAGATGTAACAAAACAAGAGCTCAAGGCATGGACTCTCGGGGACGATCTATTAACTTAAATTCCGATGGTGGACTAGATCTAGTGTTTGTTATCGATGCCTCCAGCAGTGTGAAAAAAGACGGATTTCACAAAGGTTTGAAATTTGCTAAAGAACTTGTAAGGACCATTGGTGCCAGCAAAAGGTACGACATCTTTAGAGCTTTTATTTCCAGGACTTAATTTGAGACCGAGGTGCTTTTTTTTCCCGTCCTTTCTGATCTGTTCTGTATTTTTTTTTTTTTTTTTAATTTTTAGGTTTTTTTTTCGGGTGTTTTTTTTTGTGTCCGTTGTTTTTTTTTTTTCTTTTTTTTCAGCTGTTTTGTTTTTTTTTTTTTTTTTTTAAATAAGCCTCGATGGCCAAGTAGAACAAAAGATATTGTTTTACTTGAACGGCTCGTTTAGTAGGGACCAGTAGGAACAAGAGTAACTCTTAGTAACCCTTGACCCTCTAGTTCACTTCTTCTTCTAAATTTGGGCAGGATTTCACTAAGTTAAGTGAAAGGTTGACCAAATGTTTGCCCACGTTTCGGGTCAAACTGGCTTACAAAATACAAGTAACACAACAGAATGAATCATTTCCCCGTCGTGTCGACCGGTAGGATCACCAACCAATATTATGACCCCAGATCTCAGATCTAAAAAATGAATGTCATTACTTTAATATATGATTAGAAAAAGAAATAAACTTGCTTACTTGCTTACCATCTCCAGGAGTGATGGGACTCGAATAGCGCTTGTAACGTTTGGAACGGAAGCTAAGCTTGAATTCAACCTTGGAGATGCCGAAGTGGACACAATGAAGAAAGTCATTAAAGCCATCAGTAAAGTAAAATACACTGGAGGGGCTACTGCCTCTTCCTTTGCCTTACGACTGGTCAGAACCGTTGTTGTGCCAAATGCGCGTGGCGACAGCAAGCGAGCAATGATTTTCATCACAGACGGAAAGTCTAACGTTGGTGGACCCCCGAAGAGAGAAGCAGCGATTCTCAGAGACGATGAAAATTTCGAAATTTACGCTGTTGGTAAGTAGTTAAATTCTTGTCAATGATATGACGTTCATTTCACTAAAAATGGAAGGACTGTTGAATCTGTATTTATCTTTTGTAACCTTCACATAAGATGTACGCAAATTGATTGGTAAATCACTCAAGCGAAAAATATTTCAGCATTAACTCATGCACAAACAAATGATATGTAAAGAACTGACATTTCAGGTATTAAAAAGCGCGATAGGAGCTTTTGAAACTACGTCTGTTACAGTAGACGTAAGCGTTAGTAGCAGAAATTGGCCTACAGAAGGCAATTGTATCCGTTCATAGAAATGATGATTGGAATATTTAATCATGGAAGGTAGCACTCTGCATTAGCTGGATAATTCGAAGGAAAGAGAAGGCAATTGTTGTTCAAATTATCCATAACCTCTTTGTCTACAACCATTGCATTTCCACAATTACTTTCCTCCCATTAAATCCTTGTAGAACATTTCAGGAGGAGCCATCTGCAATGTAATCAAAAATTTAAAAAAAAGGATATGATAGTCGCAGTTCAGGGATTTGAAACCTATGGCCCCTGCGTTATCGCTGCAGTGTTCTAACCAACTGAGCTATGAGGACCAATACATTGGGAGCAGGCCTATTTGTTAAGTTCATTTTAACCCGTGAAAGGAATGAAAGATAAAATGGAGATGGTTTGAACTGCGGAAATACGAATTTTTTATTTTCAAATTTATAGTCCTCTGTTCACACCATCTTCATTTTATGTTTCATTCCTTTCACGGGTTAATCCTTAATTTTTTTCTTGTTCGGGTTAATTTGGAATTGCTTAAATTTCAATTACCACAGCGACGATCATATCTTCATTTGAATTTGTATTTCTGCAGTTCGCATCATCTTCTTTGTCACTGTTACTGACAAGCTATTTCAGTTAGGAAAACAAGGAAAAGTTTATTATTGTTCTCTATTTCTATACTGAGTGAGTTAAAGGCTTTCGTAGGCATTTAAAAAGCATTTTTCACGGCAATCAAACTGGTACACGTACCTTGTTACAGAAAGGTATTCCCTTGAAATAGCCATACAGATAGCGACAAATAATTTGATTTAATTTAAATTTGCCACTTTGTTTTTTTCTGATTGGTTCCGAGAGCGGGCGGTTTATCACCATCTTGCCCGCTAATCGGGGCTGAATCAGTAGTCTATTAGGGTCAAACTTAACCTCGTTGGTGCGTTCCCTTTGCGTTCCGTGTGCGTTCCCTTAATTAATAGGCATAAGGGTCGAGTCTATGACGTCACCCATTGTTTTATCCTAGAGAAAAAGATGCGTTTCTTCATATTAATTAAGTGCCTATTCAGTGCCTTCCTCCATACTGATTGAGCACCTAGTCACTGCCTTCCTGCATATTAATTATGTGCCTAGTCAGTGTCTAGCTAGCTGGGTAAAAATGCCTTCCTGCATACTAATTCGGAATAGGTTTACTAATTGACTATTTTCCAATTCCCCATAATGCACTCTGTCTGCCCCCCAAATTTTGCATAACTTATTGTCTTAAAATGCTCTTGGGAAAATGCAATACTCCCAGGAGCATTTAAAAACAATGGTTTATGCAAAATTTGGGGGGCAAACAGAGTNTGTTCTCTATTTCTATACTGAGTGAGTTAAAGGCTTTCGTAGGCATTTAAAAAGCATTTTTCACGGCAATCAAACTGGTACACGTACCTTGTTACAGAAAGGTATTCCCTTGAAATAGCCATACAGATAGCGACAAATAATTTGATTTAATTTAAATTTGCCACTTTGTTTTTTTCTGATTGGTTCCGAGAGCGGGCGGTTTATCACCATCTTGCCCGCTAATCGGGGCTGAATCAGTAGTCTATTAGGGTCAAACTTAACCTCGTTGGTGCGTTCCCTTTGCGTTCCGTGTGCGTTCCCTTAATTAATAGGCATAAGGGTCGAGTCTATGACGTCACCCATTGTTTTATCCTAGAGAAAAAGATGCGTTTCTTCATATTAATTAAGTGCCTATTCAGTGCCTTCCTCCATACTGATTGAGCACCTAGTCACTGCCTTCCTGCATATTAATTATGTGCCTAGTCAGTGTCTAGCTAGCTGGGTAAAAATGCCTTCCTGCATACTAATTCGGAATAGGTTTACTAATTGACTATTTTCCAATTCCCCATAATGCACTCTGTCTGCCCCCCAAATTTTGCATAACTTATTGTCTTAAAATGCTCTTGGGAAAATGCAATACTCCCAGGAGCATTTAAAAACAATGGTTTATGCAAAATTTGGGGGGCAAACAGAGTGTATTATGGGGAATTGGAAAATAAAGAATGAGCGTCTCTCTACTTCAATAGAAACAATAGGCTTGCCTCGGCTTGCCCGTGAAGTAACTTGAGCTCGGTTTTCGGACAGTCTATTAAAAGGAAAATAGGAATAAGAGAAGCGATCACCCAGCAACGCGAGAAACGGCTTCCTATATCTTATTTATCGCTAAAACTCGGATACATAAACAAAACACATACAGAAAGTAGAGTTGAAAAGTCTTTATTTCAATTTAGTTCATGTGTTCTTTTCGACCCTTATGCCTATTAATGAAGGGAACGCACACGGAACGCAAAGGGAACGCACCAACGAAGTTAAGTTTGACCCTTATAGACTACTGGAATCATTGGCAGCGTCATTCACAAGTTTGTTTGTTGTTTGTGAATGAGCAAAAAACGTGTTTTTTTAAACCATTTTTTTTTTTAAACTGGCGCCATTATTAGAATAAGCTCGGGAAAGATGAATTTTGTTATACGGACAAAACGTCTGAAGGTAGAATAAAGCAAGTCCGCCAGGAAAACCGCTAAAGTAAAGCAAGACAGGCGGCTCGTGATGTCGCTTCACTAACTTGCTTTATAACCTACGCTGTATTAAAGTACTGCAATCTTGCTTTTATGCACCGTTTATTCGACATTTTTGCCTTGTTTGTAGTTTTGTTTTCCATTTTTGCCGTCTGAATCTAGATTCTGCTGTTTTTCATTGAATTTTGCCTCGCCAGTTTTCTACTTTTCAGAAAAGGTTATTGTCAACGATTGCATTTAGTTTTCAATCTTGAATAAACAACACGAACAACTTTTCCAGCAGTCGGTTATTATCGCCTCTTTTTATTTATTTGTTTATATACTTGTTTTGTTACCCACATCGCCTTTTTTTGTTCGAATTCATTTAAAATCTTACGGTTTTGAACTAATCTTAAAGTAATTATTCAGCCGAAGAAAATCTTTGCCGTATTTCCTTTGCTGTGGCTTTTAATATCAAGTTCGTCAAATTTTTTAGCCTTGTTTGACACTCAGATTTATTCTAAAAGAGGGCTTAATTGTGATAATATAAATTACAAATTAAAAATCCTGTTGTAATGTTTTGTTTTGAGTTTGCATTCGATCGCGCGCTTCATCAACACTAACGGCGCCCTTGTTTAACACAAATAGGTTGGAGGCTGAAGTAAAATTTTCCTGAAACCTGTAAATCTCAGTAGGAAAAAAGCAACAAATGTTATTTACTGGCCTAGGTCGGTCCGTGTTGGGAAAACTGGTGTCTCGGTCCAATAAGCCTACGCCTAATCTACTGTGATCAAGAGCCATTATGGCTCTTGAATGTGATCGAAGATGATTGCTATATTTTGGGTGTACATATAAAGCTATCAACTCGAAAATAACTTAGCCTTTCCCTCAAAACTCGCATGAGCTAACCGATTTGTGGGTTAGAAGTTTATTGGTTGATTTAAAGTATAGTATATTAATGGGTTAGCCCTGGCTAAATCTTATTATTATTATTTTTTAGGGGTTGGGAAAAAGGTGAAGGTGCGTGAGCTCATGGACATAGCGTCAGCCAATGAGGACGATAATCACGTGATCCAAGTAAGAAAGTACGAAACTCTTCAAGAAGCTGTACAAAAAGCGGTGCAAATAAAAGTTGGTGAGTTAAATTTCAAATAAATTAGTCTTCATTGTTAATATCCATCATTATAGAAGACAGGTTTCATAAAACTACTCAATTGGGATGGATTAATGAATCTCCTTTAAAAGTAGTCAAATTATAAAAAGAGTCTTTAAGGGTTCGCTTGACCTTGCTTTCCGAGAACCCTAATTCACTCTTCAATTATCGTCAATCTCCTTTTTGCTACTACTCGCCTTTTTTTAATTCGCTTTGCCAACTTGGAACCCGGAACAGGTGCATCTAAACAATGTAGTCACGTTTATTTTCAAGTGCTTGTATTCTTGAATTGTGCATTTACCCTCAAACGTTTCTTTAGGAAGGTTTAAATTAATAAATATAGCATTCATTGTTGAGGTAATAATCAGTTCGTTACCTTAAAATTGCTGTAACATCATTGTGAAGACAATTCCTTTAATAGTTATAGTCTCACAGAATCAATACGTTAAGTGTTGAGAAAGTATGGCGCAGTGGTACATCCTGATCGAGGTGGGTGATAAATGTGTAAGCAAAGACGTTAAAAGGCGAATTGAAGACAACTATTTTATAAATTAAGTACTAAAAGTCGCGAAAATGTTTATGTTTACTATAGCTGTTTTTTTAATTCTTTAAAAAGACTATTCCTCATGCGGTGAGAGTGCTTACGATTCAAGGGGCAGAATCGTTGGAGGCAGTGAATCTGAAAGAGGGAGGTGGCCGTGGCAGATTGGAATTTACAAAACCGATAACAAAGGTAAGTGATAAAGTTAAAAACATCTAAATATTACATGTAGGATGTAGCTCAGTCGAAGATCGAAATAGAATTACGAAAAAAAACTGGCATTAAGACTACGGTTGGGAAGGGAGGAGGGCGTCAAGTTTTTCGCCAGGGTTTTTCAAAACGGTTTTTATTCAGACATTATTTTCTTAAGTAGATGATAATTATTTTATTCTTTAGACACATTTTGGAGTTTGCCGTCCAGTTATGTTTTTTTGTCCCCTGTGACCATTTCTTAGAAAGGGCCCATTTCGATATAATATTTAAATTCTTGTTTGCCTACGAGGCTTTGGAGAATAAAATCAATTTTTATCAATTGCTTTGTCTACTTGTAAGTATTTAGCTTTAGTTGAGGTTGTTTCACGAGTTGCGTAAAATCATTTTACTACTTTGGCGTATGTTAGCAATTGTCATGAAGTATTCATCCGACGGAAACGATGTTCATTTGGTGCAATTCTGTTCATGCTTAACGAAGTAGTCTAACCACTTTTTCTACGCGGCGCGCATGAACTGTCCCTTTTGTTCTGTCAATTATCAGTGCAATTGACGATCACTGTATTGGTTCCATTCATTGCTATAGGTAGTGTTTACTTTATTTTTTCAGGTAATCTACCGCTTATTTGCGGAGGTGCATTGATATCTAATCAGTGGGTTTTGACAACTGCTCACTGTTTTTATTACTGGAATCCCTTTTCGGGAAAATACACTTTTGAGGACAGTACTAAAAAGTAAGTTTATGCAGCTCTTCACAGTGTTTATGCTCCATCTGATAATATGTTGATCTTGAATCATAAATCGGATGGTAAATAGACGTCAAGACACTTAGAAAGATAAATTAGTTTCGATCAAGGAAACACGAATAAGTTACCCTCTGATTAATTTGAGTCTAAATTCTGTTAACACCTTTGATTTTTTCGTTTTTGTCATTCCTAATTATGATATTGGAATCATCAGAGCGTTAACGGACAGGAGCTGAAGCTACCGTTCTTGAGTCGTTTCCTCCGTCAATTCCAGTGTTCAACAATTTAGAAGACAAGATCGTGTGCTTGCAAATTAAAGTACTTGCTTCTTTACAAGTGATTCTGGGGTTTTTTTTTTTTACTTTTCCAAAAAAAATGGGTCCGGGTCGGGCGATGGGAAACGAAACATTTCATGGGATGGCCTTAGAGGCGATTTTACACAGCAAACCAGAACGTTCGGCACGAATTCGCCGCAATTTAAGTCCTTCAATTTTTTGCCTTTTAAAAAGAGTTCTCAGAAAAAAAAAAAAACAAGGTGAAGACGTGACGATCTGATAGACTTCTAACTTTAACTGAAGTTCAAATGCTACAACTAAATTACTGAGCCTTATTGCAAGTACGGGAAATATGAAAACGATAAGAAGCATGATGGAAACCGCACCCACGTATGAGATCTTTTGTTGCCTCGGCGACAAAGGTACGAGGGAGCGAACTCTTAGGTAGCAATTTTTTTGGATCAGGACAAGGAAAGAAAGTGAAGTGGGGTTTATTGGTTTGTAGAAGCTTGTAGTATTTCTAGTTACAGTCGCACCTCCACTAACGGCCATTTCTCTACAACCGCCACCTCTCTATAACGGCCACTTTATTTTGTCGCGGCGGACAGACCATACGTTTACTCCGGTTATTTAAACCTCTCCACAACGGCCTGATCTCTTGTCAATCAAATAACATTGGTCCTGTTTAATAGTCAAATGTTTACCTAACTATCTAATAATAATAATAGTCTTAAAAATAATAATATTTGCCTGTTTGCACTAATTTTGTCTTTGTTGTCGCTCCTGTTGTTGCTGCTTGTTGATGTGGATGTTGTTTTCTTTTCTTTTTTTGCTAGTTTGTTTTCTCCTGATTTCTCTTTTGGTTCAGTATATCTCTAACGTACCTTTATATACTTTTAATATTGTCCTGTACATTAGTCCTAGGCTCTAGAAACATTCTCTACTATATATAAAGCTCAGTATCATTTCTTTGTTTTATTCAAAAGTAGGTGGTGGTCAACTAGAAAGCTTTCGCTACTTTGACCACCACAGACATCTTATAACCCATACTGTAGTTATTTTATTTTGTAATCATCTATTGGTAACTACATTTTTCTTTCTATGTTATTCTCGGTAAATAGTGTGAAATAAATGAACCTAAACCTGAACCTGAACCTGAGCCACCTCTCTACAATGGCAACGGCCACTAGCGCATGTCCCCAACAGCTAAAATAACCTCTCGACAACGGCCAGTTTTTTTTTTTTCCGCTACTGATGCAAAAGTCAAGAATGGTCACGAATTGGCACGTTTATGATCAATCGGGGCAATCGTATTTTGATTTTGCCTCATTTATACATGTACCGCTGCAGTAAGCAAAAAATGTCTACTATACTTAAGGCGAATGTTGCGAACCTTGCTCGTTTTGTCACGTTAAGATTATGATTCAAGACGTAATTCAGGCTTTTTGTGTATTATCTCTATACATTATATATGATTGAATTACCATTATTATGGGACACAGTAAGCATGAACTTAGCACAAAAAAAGCGTGTCGTCCTCCCTAAAATAAATAACATATTACACCCCTACCTCCCCATAACTGTAGTATGAGCGCGGCCTGGCAACGAACGCATGCGCAAGGGGCGAAGGCAATCTGCTCGAGGTCCTTTTCCTAAGCACTTTCACTATTACTGTCTTGTACAAAAGGCCAAGACTAGAGCGGTACCCAAGTCTTAGAACAATAGCGGCCACGGCCACCCGTCTGTCCCCAAGCTAGCCGTTGTGGAGAAGTTTGGATGCAGTTGTATTTTTTTAAGCAAATGCGACGCATGTAATTAAATAAATCCACCCACAAGCCTTGCATTATCAGGGAAGGTATAGGTGATTTTAATATGTTCTTATTCATATTTTAGGTATGAGGTTAAGGCTGGTGACCACGACTTGACAAGTATAGAGAAGTCAGAACAGAAAGTCCGTCTTGACAAGATTTTTGTTCACCAAGGCTATAAGCACACTAAATACATAAATGATATAGCTCTCGTTAAACTCAAAGAAAAGGTGGAACTAAGTGCGTTTGTAAGAACTGTGTGCCTGCCAGATAAAGTAGAGGGTGATTTGGCGAAGCCTACGAAGTACGGTTCTGTCTGTGGCTGGGGAGCGACAAAGGCCTTGAAACCTGGGGACGAACCTGAAAATGATGACCGATATTCAACAGTTCTTAAATACCATTCTTACCAGATTCGAAAAAATCAGTTGTGTGCAAATGCCACCACAGGAGTAGTACCTTTCAATTCAACTGTAACATTTTGTGCTGGTGACGGTAAAGGAGGAAACGATACTTGTAAGGGTGACAGTGGCGGAGCCTTTGTTCGCGCAAGAAAAAGAGGATGGATTGCTACTGGCCTTGTAAGTTGGGGGGAGGGTTGTGCACAAGAGAATCACTACGGATACTACACAAGAGTCTACTCATTTATTGACTGGATTAAAAAGACTCTCGATAAACACACTGACCCAGATGAGGAAATTGTATAGTCAAAACATACATGTGTACTCTTTTTTTCTTTTTTAGCTTTTTTTAAGAGCTATTTTGTAAGCCAACATTCCTTAGCCTCTAGATTGCCTCTGTATTAAAAACAACAACAAAACAAAAACAAAAAACAAAAAAAGTCAATTTTAGTTTATGCCTGATCAAAGCGTGTTGTAGTAAATCGTATTCAATAATTAAAATGATTGTTCGTTATTTTTGCTCCTTTGCATTTAGTCGAACTTTAACAACAATGCCTTTCTCAAACCAATCCATTCCAAATAACAACCATAGAATCGTGCATTCAGAAAGTTTCAACATTGTATAAGTTGGGGTGGGGGAGAAAGTGCTGCGAGATATATTCCAAAAGGTAGCACGTTCGAGCTGGGTTCAAATTTTGAGGATTGTTAGATAACATAAAGACGAACCTAGACTGCAAAACAGTCCGTATTTTTGCGTATTCAAGTATGCGCGAGCAGTCAAAAAAAAGGCTCGCGCGCT